TTATTCAGGTGGTTTGGGTGTAAATCTGCTGGGGAATGGCAGCTCGGTCAAAAGTGGCCTCCTCCTACTGTAAATCCACACTCCAGATCCCCATACTGATCCTGCCGGTCGATGCTGTTATTCATGCAGCCTCGCAGGGCCTCTGCCCTCACTTACTGACAATGACTTTATAGTCAGCAAGGCACGAGCAAAAATATATCTGTTTTAGGGTAAAGGAGGGCAGAGACACAGCAACTGAAGAAGGAGCACCAGAGCTGAAGCAAACACACACCTTCACATATTTCAAACAGGGCTCCAAGTGTGGCGGATTACAAAGCAGCCAACATTGTGACAGGGAGCACAGGAAATCCAAAGATAGACCTGAAGCTGCCAGTCAAACCTGCAGGATATAAATGTGTACACACTTGTGTGCCATGTCAAGAAGACCGCACCTCCTGTTGTGTGTGTGTGTGTGTGTGTGTGTGTGTGTGCCTCACACACACATTTATGTGAACATTCCCAACAGCTGGCCTGTCACGATCACGCCAGCTTTCTTGTTCCGCCATGTAAACACACTTCAGCAGGTTTATCTTCAGAGGCGTTCAGCCGGGACAGACGGAGAAGGAGGTCAGGGATGGAGGGTGGGGAAGAGGAGGAAAAGGGAAATAAACAAGCGGTACGTTGATGTACCCCATCCCTGAAGGACTTTAATAGTGAATGGTTGTAGTTATTGCGATGATGCAAGTACACCTTCATGTTTTTGGTGCAAGATATTCAAGTGGGTAGGAGGTACACTGTGTAAGAGCAGAGATAGTTGTTGTGTTGTTTTTTTCTAGTCCGAGGTGGCGCGGAGTGATGGATCCTGATGAGTGGAGGGAGCAGTTTTACTCATAATCAGGTGCAGTGGAGGAGCCAGGGGGTGGGCAATGGTAAACGAACTGTACTTATATAGCACCTTTCTATCTTATCAAGACACTCAAAGCGCTTTACAACACAATCTGTGCCTCATTTACCCATTCATACAGCACTCTACTGTATTTCTACAAAGCTAATTGAACAAATCATTCTAATGAGAATAATCAGAGCTTTATCATATTCATACACTGATGGGACACACATCAGAGGTAATGAGGGGTTCAGTGTCTTGCCCAGGGACACTTCAGCATGTGACTGTTGGTGGATTTGAACCCCCAACTCTTGCATTGGAGGATGACTGCTCTAACCACTCAGCCACAGCCGCCCAATGGTGGCCTTAGCCACAACAGATTAATCATTGGCCGGCCCAATCATTTGAGGAAACTATACTTTTAGGCAATTTTAAAACTAGAAAGCATAGTTTTCTCAAACGATAGGCCTGGCCAGTTCACATATGGTGGTAGCCATCTTGGATTTTGACGTGGCAACACAATTTTCGAAAGGACACTTTCTTACACCTACATGCAGCCACACACCAAAATATATTGATACCCGACTTATTTTTCAAGTTATCCCGCTCACAACACTCATGGACGGATGGAAAGTATTTCCAATTCCCGCTTTTCGCTCCACGACGGGGGACAAAAAAGAAGGAAGGTTGTCTCTTACTAGGCTCTGACTTTTGTGGGCAAACGACATTTGCAAGGTAGTTGCCAAAGTGTACCGGAACGTCCAAGTGTGAGGGTCACAATTGTATCTTTTGATTTTCGAACATTTAAAAAAAAAAAAAAGGGCCACAAATTTTCTTATAATAGTCAGAGAGTTGTTGTGGGCATCTCTAAACACATCTCAGTGTTGTTATGTGTGTCTTCAACCCATCTCCTACGCTCTACAGCTGCATTTTGTCCCCTGCATGGGAGCTCTCCTCTGACAGGAAACATCTGAGGAAAATGTCCAGATCTACAAACCATGACAATGATCAATAATATTAAAAAACTGGTCCAACTCTACCTGCCTTCATTTCAGTCTTATACTCCAGTGTGTGGGGGACAGCTGCAAAAGGTGGATAAGAAGTGGGAGGAAAAGGTCAACAAAATAATGTGCATGGCCAAAAACACAATTTTGCACATTGTGCACACAAGAAAAGGTTATTTTCAAACTTTGCTTTTTATATCTGCACAGCTCATTAATTGCTTGACTGTAAACACTAAAATGTCTGTAAGACTGCAATAAAAATATTAAGCTTTTTTTTGTAATTTTCTTACAATTTTTAGTCGCCAACTAATCTCAAACAGTTCCCTTCAGCTGTTTTGAGAAACATAACTGAGAAAATAAGCAAATTTTCACTTCATACATTTACATAAACTACACTGTGAAATTTGCCCCAAAGTTACCCAAAGTACAGTTCTGGTGCTCTTGAATTATGGAAACTAAACTGAGAAGAGTTTGAGACAGGATCCAGACACCTGCAACACAAGAGAAAGGCCCTGCAAACATTTCAAGACATGTTAGAGACTTGTAAATCCTGTTTGCAGCTTATGGCCAACAGTTGTAGCCCAATTAAATACTACTGTTGGACACAAACTGCAAACTGAATTTGCATCGGAGTCTCCAAAATATCTCAAAAAGCTTGCAAGGGTTCAGTGTCCTTGCATGAGCTGCGGAGGCGTTGCAATCTTTGTCGCTTGAATTTTACATGTAGAAAAAAATTTGTGTCATGTTTTCTCAAAAAAACAGTCGTCACAGGCATCTCGAACACTTCTCAGTTTTGTTTCTGTAATTCCATAGCTGTATGTCTCAAGGCTGTGTTGACATTTAGGAAACTACCGTAAGGTGAAGTTAGAAAGGAAAGCAGACGTGAGGAGGTGTGCTACGAACAGGCGAGTGTTTTTGCCTTCATGATCCTGACATAGATCAGAGGTTATTACACATATAAGGTTACCACTGCTGCTGACCTACTTCCTCTCAGAGCTAAAACGAGTTTGGTGTGTAAAGTTTGGTGATAAACATGCCTGGAGATAAACTCTGGAGCAGAAGGTGCACCGGAGTTTGAATGACGGTGGTGGAAAATGCCTCTAACAAGCCCAGACACAAGTGCTGACCCCTTCATTTGTGTCACCTTTGTCTGTGTGTGTATGTGAAGCAGAGGAAACCGTGTAAACACACACACACATTGCACAAAGTGGTGCACCCATAAGCAAAGTGCACAGTCATCAGTAATTGTCATCGCTTAACAAGCAGTGGGTCATGCACCGCCTCTGTAAGCATTACTGTGGGAGCGCAGGAGGCAGCATCCCCTCATAAAGAAGCTCTCTGGATCAAAACCGACACGTGGAAGAAGATAAACCACACAAAAACTGGCACCAGATTAAAAAAAACATTGATTAAAACAGAAGGAAACTGTAGTTTGGTGCATAAAGCCTCACCGTCTGATTCATTTTTAACAGAATATGATATAAAATCCACAACAGGCCAAACTGCAGGCAAATGCACGCTGAAGATGATCCACACATGATGAGCTGAGGATCACACCAGTCCTCACTGCTCTGCCTCCTCCAGCTGCTGCAGCCTCCACCTCCAGCTTCATGTCAGATTACTGTCAGTCACGAAGACAAGTTTCTCCAATTATTTCACCAAGACATAATCCCATCCAATAGGTCCATCAACACCGAGGAGAACAACCTTCCAGCTGACATGAAGGCTAATTCTTTATTGACATTTTTATTTCAATTACTTCTAATGCTTGCTTTCTTATTTGTAATCTGGTGGGAGATCAGGGATATTTGCTGGCAGATGCTGAGGCCATCATAGCCACCTCAAGATGTTAAGATGTATGGATGAATGGATGCATGGATGAATGCATTAATAGATGCATGGATGATGTATGTATGGATGTACATATGGATGCATGATGGATGGTGGATGGATGGGGGATGGATGCATGGATGGATGGTGGATGGATGGATGGATGGGGATGGATGCATGGATGGATGGGGGATGGATGCATGGATGGATGGTGGACATATGAATGGATGTACAGATGGATGGATAGATAGATGGTGGATGGAGGATGGCTAGAAGGATGTATGTACGAATGGATAGGTGGATGTATAGATGGATGGATGTATTGTACAGATGGATGGATGGGTGGATGTTTGTATGGATGCACTGATATTTGCATCATGGATGGATGGTGGGTGGATGGAGGATGGATGGATGTATGTACAAATGGATAGGTAGATGGTGGATGTATGGATGGATGTACTGATGGATGCATAGATGGATGGATGGTGGATGGATGTCCAGATGGATGCATCCATCAGTACATCCATCCATACATCCA